CTCTCTCTCTCTCTCTCTCTCTCTCTCTCTCTCTCTCTCTTTCTCTCTCCCTCTCTCTCTCCCTCCCTCCCTCCCTCCCTCCTTCATTCAGACCAGACGTTGTCACACCTGTATGCACAGAGTCGCACATTCTACCTTCCACACCCTTCCACTTGCCCACGCAACTTGCTGCTTGCGCACACACACATACACACACAGCTCCTCCAGTGTGCCCCCCTCTCCCGTGCCAGTCATGATGCCACATGGGCACACACTGCCCACCCGCTGACTCCCACTTGCTCCCAGCACTCACTTCCACACTTGCACTCACCTTCAAGAAGGTAACAGCTGCAATAAAAGGGGAGGGAGCATTAGGGTGAGAAATGGGGTGGACGGATGCCAGCCCCTGATTGGCTTACAGCCTCCTGGGGGTGGAGTCTATGTGACTGCAGCATATGAGGGACCAACTGTGTGAGAGGGGGGAAGAGAGAGAGGGATGTGAGAGCAGAAGCCTCCCTTTGACACAGAGCTGAGTCGGCTTCACCCTCAGCTGCCTCTGCCTCTCCTCCTCTCTCTCTTTCTCTCTCTCTCTCTCTGTCTCTTCCCCTCTTTCTTTCTCTCTCTGTCTCCTTCCCTTCTCTCTGGGGCTCAGGACTCTGTCACCTCCCTTCCCCTTGCGGAGGATACCGGTCACATCTATTCCCTGCCTGCGCTAAAGCCATGGGGGTGAGTATAGTACATATGTATTCCGTGTATGTGTCACCGTGCTGGATCTCTGCGCTGTCCATGGTGCTGAACTCCGCTAGATCGCCCCTTCCCTCTATTGTGCATTCATCGGCTCCGCTAATTCTGTGTGCAGACCTTTGAGTCCCTTTAAAATGCCATCTTCATAGCTTTCATCAAATGCCATCTTCATAGTTCCCAGCCAATGCCATCTTCATTGTTCCCAGCCAATGCCATCTTCATTGTTCCCAGCCAATGCCATCTTCCTAGTTCCCAGCCAATGCCATCTTCATAGTTCCCAGTCAATGCCATCTTCATAGTTCCCAGCAAATGCCATCTTCATAGTTCCCAGCCAATGCCATCTTCATAGTTCCCAGCCAATGCCATCTTCAAGCTCTCTACCGATGCCATCTTCATAGCTTTCAGCAAATGCCATCTTCATAGCTCTCAGCAAATGCCATCTTCATAGTTCTCAGCCATTGCCATCTTCATAGTTCTCAGCCATTGCCATCTTCACAGCTCTCAGCCAATGTAATCTTCATATCTCCCAGCCAATGCCATCTTCCTAGTCCCCCAGCAGATCTGTGCTTTCCTTTCCCAATGCTGATCTGGTCCATGCTCCCTATTGTCGCTTTTGCATTGAAGGCATCGCCTCCCTTCCCGTAGCTCTCCATGGTGCTGATCAGCTCCCGGTTACAATGTATAATAGACCTGGGCGTTCTTCATTGGCGAACAAGTGATGTCATGTTGGTGAGATTAGCAGGTGAAGGGTTAATGGTTGACATGCCATGTACCGGCTTGTGGATAATTGTGTGCACAGCGCATTGCGGTGTCTGTCAGTCTGTCGGCACCCAGTAGAAGCAAAGATGGAGAAGCCTTGGGAAAAAAAAGATGAGGTCATTTGCTACAGAGAAAGAGAGAGAGGAAAAAAAGATGGAGGAGAAGGGAAGAAGATGGTGGATGGGGAGTGCTGAGGAGAGGGATGGGGAGAGGTAGAGATAGAGACCGGGCAGGTGACATAAAAAAAAGGATGATGGGGGTAGTGGTACTTGGAAAAGCAGTGGCTGGTGAACAAGGAGGCATAAAATCATATCCCCTTGACTAGATTGCAGAGCAGACCGGCAATTACAGGCTTAGAAGGAGGAAAGCCTGGGTGGAAAAACACTGAAGAGCCCCTGGGGTGGTACCCAGTCCAAATGGGAGAAGGGCACTTGAAGGTCAGAGGGTAGTTTGGTGCAGTAGGGTTGTCCGGTTGCTTCTAAAACTCCATCTGCCCCTTGTGTGCCTATTCGGTCTTATTATCTGTATACAGCAATGCATTATGTTCTACATTTTCATGGATGACTGTTGGGGAGTGTAGTGTTTGTGCCTCTTATCTGTTAATAAGGGTGATCGGTTATTCTGTGGAGCTATCCCTATTGCAATCTTGACAGTCTAGTGAAGGATGGGGTTAGGATGCAAGCCGATTCATATAGATAATGACCTTTGAGCATGCAGAGTCAGGCCTTCTGTATGCTGCATAGCACTGCAACCGCAGGCCACTGAATTTGGAGGGGTGGAAAGGAAAATTGGAAGCATAGAGGGTACGCGAGACTGGGAGCAAAATTGATATAGTTCCAAGCTTTTAACCATTTAGCCCGCCAGGTGGTCAAATCATGGAATCTAGAGGACAGCATTCAGCCATGTTGCATGAGCATGTTTTGAGAAAAATCTTTCTGTGCTGCTTATGATTACAAAAAACAGAATTAATTGTTTTTAATACATGTCTGGTTAAAATGATAGTGCTTTTGTATTGAGATAAAATATTTTGTATTGCCTACCATAAAGAATTTATGTATTTAAAGTTGGCTGCATAGGGCCCAAGGGTGTTGTATGTCATTGATCAAGGTCATGTAGCCATTCGCATGTATTCCTCCAAAGGCCGCCCTCCCTTTTGTAGACAAGCACACATGGGCATCATGCCATGTGAACCTGGGCACTCGACAAGATGCCGGGAGGACAAATGCATAAAATCTGCACATAGAGTAGAATACGTCTGCTTTTTGCATACCTGCACTGGCATGCAGACAGTTGCATATTAAAAAGCCACAGATGCATTGTGTGCCCGCAAGTCTAATCTAAAGGGCACATGGAAGTTGATTCTTTAAGCAGAGGAAAGGTGACCCATCTATGGCAGCAGTACAGTAGTACACGGCTGCTTTATGTAAGGCTTTGGCTGTTGTACTGCGCATGCTCTGCCCATCGTACTCTCCCCTCCCAGGAGACAGAGTATGGGGGCTGGGGGAGTGACATATGGCGTGGAAACGAGTGAGGATAATCCCCCCACCCCTACTAGAATGGAAGAGGGGGGTGGGTACAATTCTCTGTTTCCAATATGACAAAAGATCAAAGAGATATGTGTCAGATACAGACTGGGTAACTGTCAAAGATAAAATGCAGAAGAGGAAGGACTAAAGGACTTGAATGCTAGACTGCCAAATGCATATAAAATATATATATGGCAGCAGGGTAACATAAAGGAGGGTTGTAAATGAATGGAATGAGCTGCCATAATGAAGTGTGTCATTAATGTGTTGAAGATAGTAATGAAGCAGCGGATTACAAAAGGCAGTGATTGAGGCAGAAGATTCATTAGGATATAGGATGGCATGTGACAAAGGGGGCTGGAGATGTAGTATAAAATGTTCCCTTGTAGTTTAATGGGATCATCCTTAAGGGTCAGTGTGCAAAAGCAATTGTATTACAGAATTTTTAGCAACCCAAGTTCCCTCCCTTAGAGTCTGAGGCCACTTTCAGTCATTCTTTCTACACTTAATATAACCTGCAGTGATATACAGTATATATTTACAAGTACCAATATTTTTATTTTCGGTACTTGCCGATGCCGGAAGTCCCATTAAGGAAGCCAGGTGGCGTGTAATGACTCGCCAACCAGCTAACCGATTAGCAGGGAAGCCGTCTCAATGCTTCCTCGTCACCAGGTGACAAAAAAGCATGGAGCCGGCTTTCTCGCCAATCGGGAAGCTGGGCGCCGTGTCATGTAATGACGCGGCTCCTGGCTTCCTGATTGGCCGGGAAGCCAGCTCCATGCTCCCTCGTCACCTGGTGATGAGGGAGCATGAAGCCAGCTTTCTGGCCAATCAGAAAGCCGGGGGCGTGTAATAACTCGCCGTCCAGCTTCCTGATTGGCCAGCTTCCCGAACCAAACAGGAGTCATTACACGCTGCCCGGCATCCTGATTGGCCGGGAACCCAGCTCCAGGCTCCCTAGTCACAAGCCGGGGGGCATGTAATAACTCACCGTCCGGCTTTCCGGCCAGTCAGGAAACCAGGCAGCGTGTAATGATTCGCTGCCTGGCTTCTTGATACCGTATCAGGCTAGGCATCGGAGCATTTGGGTGAGTACGAGTACTCACGCAAGTACTCGCATCGGCACCGATACCAATACTAGCATCGGTATCGGTGCATCCCTATTTTCTATATTTTAAAATCTTCATTAAAATGATAGTGTGTGATCTTGCCATGAATATCTGTGTACAGGCACGTCCTGTTAGAGGGTAAGAGGTGTAGAGGTATGAGCTAATAAAAGTACCCATAGATATGCATTACTAAGGTACCCATAAATGTGAGATAATACAGGTACCCATAGATATGCGTTATTAAGGTATCCACAGATATGAAATAATATAGGTACCCATAGATATGAGATAATAAGGTACCCAAAGACATGAGATAATAAGGTACCCATAGATTTGAGTTATTGAGGTACCTGTAAATATGAGACAAAAATGGGTACCCATAGATACGAGTTATTAAGGTACCCATAAATATTCGATAATAAAGGTACCCATAGATATGAGTTATTAAGGTACCCATAGATATGAGACAAAAATGGGTACCCTTAGATACAAGTTATTAAGGTACCCATAAATATTAGATAATAAAGGTACACATATATATATGAGTTATTAAGGTACCCATAAATATTCGATCATAAAGTTACCCATAGATATGAGTTATTAAGGTACCCATAAATATAAGATAATACAGGTACCCTTAGATATGAGTTATTAAGGTACCCATAGATATGAGATAATATAGGTAACCAAAGACATGAGATAATACAGGTACCCATAGATATAAGATAATAAAGGTTTATATATGTGATGATAAGATGCACATACGGTACATACGGTATGAGATAATAAGGATAGATATGAGTCGCCCATTATGGTTGGATGACTTGGCCAAGCCCTGGGTGAGTGCTCCTGGGAGAACTAACAACCATTCTTGTTGCCTTATTTTTTATCTCTGTTGAAGAATGGTCCATTGGCCAGTGTTTTAATATTTAGGTCTGCCTGCATTGTGTGATTATCCTTACCTGAGAGTTATATGCACATTGGCTGCGAATCATCTGAGGAATTTTTTGCACAATCACCATTGTTTGCGTTTGTTTTTTTTCCTTGGGACTTTTTTTGCCTATATTGCTTTTTTGTATGTGTGTAGATATTTCTTATGCCTCATTTGTTTGAAGGCTCATATATGTGACTCATTTATATATGTTTTAATTTATTAGATATGTATGATTATTAGCTCGGCACAATATTGTTTTTTCACATTTTACAGATATTTAGTTATATCCTTAGTGCTTGGTAGCTCATATTTCCACATTACACTTACTGGCGCTGATCACCTTTATTGTTTAGTTTTAGTGTTTTAATATTGCTTGTTGTCAAATATTGATCGTGCTTGCTGTCCAAATTCAAGCACATCCACATGTGGCAAAAGACAGCCCTTGTAGTGGGTGACAGAAGCACCTATTCTAAATAAGGTTGCCATTGGTAGGATGTTGAATTGCTCTTGTTGTGTGGCTCAGAGGCGTCTCGTGGGATTAGGTATTAGAGAGTAAACCAGTAATTGGGGATGCCACACTAATTCTATGTATAATATTTTGTTGCAAAAGTAGATGTTATAAGAATTGTGATGGATAAAGGCCACTGATAA